GGCCGCGGCGACCGCGACGACGACGGCGGGGGGGGGGGCGGCGACGGCCGCGGCGGCGCCAGGCCGCGAAGGCCGCGGCGGGCGCGGCGGCGGGGCGGCGGCGGCCGCGGCGTGGGGCCCTCTTGGGATGGCTGCTGCGGCCTTGGGCTCTCTTGCGGTCCTCCTGGGGGCCCTCGTGGAGCAACCTCGGGGTCCCTCGGGGCTCCTGGGGCGGTCTGCGAGCCGTCTGCGAGCGCCGTCGCGGCCACCTCAGCGCAGCCTTGGGGCCGCACTGGGGCGCCGCCCTGGCGGCCAGCCTGGAGCGATCATGGGAGCTCCCGGGGGCGCCTTGGGACGGTCTTGGGGTGGTCTCGGGCCGCCGTCCTGGAGCCGCCCTGGCGGCCATCCCGGGCGATCCTGGGGGCGCCATGGTGTGCTCGCAGACCTGCCGGCCGCCGCGTGGCAGGCGCAGCGGGGCCGAACGATTTCTCCAGGGCCGCCGGGCGGCGGCGACGCGGAGCGGCTCGGTCCGTCGCCCCCAGCAGCGCGCCGCCGCCGCGGCGGCCTCGCGGGCCGAAGGCGCGACGGGCAGTGCCGAGCGGGATGGGCAGGCGGCCCCGGCCTGGCCGAGCCGACGCGCCGGCTCGCGGGCCGAGGAGCGACAGGCAGCGCCAGTGGCTCCGAGCCGCCGCGACAGCTCACAGGCCAAGAAGCGACGGGCGGTGCCAGCGGCACCGAGGCGAGGCACAGGGCAGCACATCTCTGCGGCGTCCTGTTCTCGGCGTGATCGAGACACCCATGACAATCAGCCAGTGGCTGGACCTCCCGCCCTACCCTTCTCCAGATCCCCGTTCCTCTGGGGCCTCTGGCCCTCCCCCCGTCCCCTTCTTCCGCCCTGGGCCCGAGGATAATGCGACGATGGGCGCGCACACAACGACGCCGAAAGCACCACTGATCGAAAAAAACACGCACGGCGCCAGTGAGTCACGATTGCTCCTCAGCTACGAGCAGCGACGCGTAATCTAGCAGGTCGCCGCGACGAACTGCTTCACCGGCGACCGATATGAACATCCTCATTCCTCCGGCACTGCTTGCACTCAGGGCTTACGACTTCGGTCATCTGAGGAAGCGGATGGGCGTGCCGAGCTCCTGCCCAGTCGGTGGGCGTGGCCACCGCCCGCGGGCGCCTCGTGGGCGCCTCGTGGGCTAGGTGGGTGTTCCGAGGTTTCGCCGGATGCCCGCCCATGGCCGCCCGTGGGCGCCTCTCGCGGTCGCCTTGTGCTGGGCGGCCGCATAGACTGCACTGCACAGCTTCTACCCTATACGCTGCACCGCATGGCTTGCACCACGTGTCTTGCAGCGCATACCTTACACCACACAGCTTACACGACACAGCGCCGACCACACAGCTCACACCACGTGGCTTGCACCACATAGCTTGCGCTGCGCAGCTTACACCACACAGCTTGCACCATACAGCTTGCACCACATAGCTCACACCACATAGCTCACACCACATAGCGTACACTGGATGGCTCACAATGCATATCTTACACCACACAGTTTTCACCACGTGTATTACACCGCAGGGCTTGCACCGCACAGTTTGCACCGCATGGCTTACACTGCACGAGTTGCACCACCTACCTCACACCACATGGCTTGCACCACATAGCCCACACAACAGCATCGCCACAATCCGATGGTGTAGGCTGCGAACATCAGCTGTGCCCTACAACTTGAGAAAAGGATTTTCGGGAGCGGCCAAGAGGGGGGTGCCCAAGAGGGAGGGATGCAAATCATGACCGGCAGCATGTGCGCGGCCCAGCGGAGGGGCCAGGGACGTAATGGAATAAGAAGAGGCGCCATGAAATCAGAGGAAATATCATGGCCCCCGCCATGATATCCACCCCCCCTGGTCATCACCCCCCTCTTTGCCGCTCCCGAGATCTGGTGAAGGCGGGCGGCACGACGCCCGGAGTGAGGAGCTCGCATAGCGCCGCGAGGCTCGGACGTGCTGCGCGGGGCCCTGGGGGGTCCGGCGCCCGAGGCCGGGCCCAGGACGCGGTGCTCAGCGCTCGAGGCACCAAGCCTGGGGCGCGGGGCCCGGGGCCAGGAGTTCCAGGCGAAGGAGCTCGAGCCCCTGGGGGTCAGGTCGGGCCTGCCCCCCGACGGGCCGATGTTCCAGGAAGAATGGAAAAGAGTCAAACATACCAAGAACCAAAAAACACACAAAAAAAAAAAAAAAAAAAAAAAAAAAACTATATATACATATATATATATATATATAAATGTATGTTGGACTACGCTTGAATATTCCTCCTGTGGAGGGACAGGCCCGACTTAAGCATAGGGCCGGGGGGTGCGCCTGAAATGTGGTAGCAAAGATTAGTAGACATATCTGAGGGTGCTCGGGCGCAGGACCTGAGGTCAAGAACAGGACTGCAAATCTGGCGCACGAAGCTAATAAACCGAGAGCAAGCAACTTTTCCTCCTGGACTCGAAGGTTGGTCGCCGGGAGCGAGCTAAGACCTACACTCGAACGCAAGGAAGCTCAGGAGCAGATGGTCTGCTGCTGTGGGGCACGCATACGTGCGTTGCGAGCACGATTGATATCCATATCCACTGCGTCTTGGACTTTCTGGGAAGGGGCGCCAACAGGCCGCAGCGCAGTGGATATGGATACAAATCTGACCTCTAGGGGGGAAATTGATTTATCAATGTCCACGGCGGCTCCGGTATCGGAGGAAGGGAGCCCGAAACTCCAAGACGAAATGGATACGGATGAAAAACTTGCCCGCGTGCGCTCTGCTCGCAGCTCTACTAATGCGAGCAGTATTAAAATCAGATAAGCCAGATGCGAGTCTAAAAAGGCGGACCGTTGCATTCTGGCCGTCACAGAGAACTGCCGTGCTAGTCAGAAGACTTGTCAGAAGAGTCGTCGTCGTCTGGGAGCGCCTCCTCGTGGGTTGCGATGCATATGCCTAGGGCTGAGATATCTTTGTACTGCGAAGCATCCATCTCCCTTCACGCATTCCACCCTGGAGGGGTGGACACTTCACTGCGTAGATTTCTGAGCCCTGTATGCCTGCGCCGACCCTCCTGAAGGACTTCCAGCCCGGGCCGATGAGGCAGCTGCACGACTCTCGCTTCCACTGGAACCAACTGCGGGAGCACGTCGGGTGCGGCACCGTCACGTCGACCAGCCTGGGAATCGCCATCCCTATCATCACATAACACCAATACTAGGGAAACGAACTCTATACACCGACGCTTTTTCCGACCCTGCGCTGAAACTCGCACAGGAACGCGGATCCTGGTGTATACGGTATCCTGGTGTATACATGTTTCGTTGTTTCCCTGGGAAAACGGTGGAAAAGTATACACCACACCACCCCGACGTCGTCCCTGACCCTGACAAAGTCGTGGGATTGAAAAAAACAACCCACCATTGGTAATGTACATGTTCCAATTTGCGAAATACTTCTCACAAGGTCTATGCAACCCTCACGTGGCTCAAGAACATGTCATCTGGTCCTTCGCGGCTGCAGCTATCCTCCACGGGAGCCCGACCCCCCCTCTCCCCGGGCAGCGCACCCCCGGGCGTGCGGCGTCGTGCATCCCACGGCCGCATGTGCCACTGGAAGAGCGAAGCTCCCTCCAGTGTAAAGGGGCCCCAGGACACACAAATCAATACACACACAAATAATAACATTCCCCATATTTTCCCATATTTCTGGGGTTGTCGTCTTCCCCCCCACTTCCCATATTTTCCCATATGTTCTGGGGAATCGACGATGAATTGTGTCTGCGTGTTGTTTCCCTCCTGACAATGCCATCGCCCGTCACCGCTGCCGCGCTCCTGCCCCCCGGCTCTGCCATACCGTGCGCCCGCGCTGCGGCGGCCTGCTCTCGGGAAGCCAGCGGTGTTGTCACGAGCGCCGCTGAGACACGGTCACGAAACACAAGGGCTCCCAACTTCGCGCTTCGCGCTGCGCGAAGCGCGAAGTGCGAATAACTTCGCGCTCTCGCGCCGCCTCCCAGGGTAGAAGGGGAGGATGAGGAGGAATCGGAGCCGAACCGCGAAGCGCGAAGCGCGAATAACTTCGCGCACTCGAGGGCGCCCTTGAACATGAGGTGGTGGCGAGCGTCGTGGCCGGGGTCAGGATGGTACAAGGTGCTCAACGGCTTACCTCGTCCACCCGCAAGAACGTGCCTCCCGCTGGGGGGCCGTGAAAAAAGTCCAGAAGTCACCCGTGGAGAGGAATCGGAGCCGAACCGCGAAGCGCGAAGCGCGAATAACTTCGCGCACTCGAGGGCGCCCTTGAACATGAGGTGGTGGCGAGCGTCGTGGCCGGGGTCAGGATGGTACAAGGTGCTCAACGGCTTACCTCGTCCACCCGCAAGAACGTGCCTCCCGCTGGGGGGCCGTGAAAAAAGTCCAGAAGTCACCCGTGGAGAGCCTGCTGCCACCCAGGCCGTGGCCACATGCCGCGGGATCCACACACGAACCCTGCTCTCGCCAAGGTCCCGGGAGGCCCAGGGAGTCACGAGGATCCCCCACATATCCTGTTCCTCCGGGGGGTATCCTCGCGAGGTCCACTGGGGCCCCGCGTGCCAGCCTCCCGGATCCACCACGACGGCGTCAGATCCAGACCACCCGAAGGCGGCATCAAGACGGCCCAAAAGCCCGACCAAGCGGCAACGAGATGGTCCTTCAATCGACAAGCGCGTTCCACTACTCGCAAAGTAGCTACTCGCAAGAGGCCTGGATCCACCGCGGGGGACGTACGGTACATTACATAGAGGAAGACACATTTGTTCTGGACGTTTGCGAATAGGCACTTTGCGAGTAGTGGAACGCGCCCGGTGATTCAGAGCCTGTTCGGGACCGCTCGGCCGAATCATCGCGCCCAGAGTGGCGCAACACAAGCGTGGCCTAGGCCCTGCACAGCCGTGGCTCTGCAGAGAGGCGCCGTGCGAGGTGTCGCGCGGAGCTGTGCGGTGCCTGCGTCGGAGCTGATTATGTTTGCCGATGCAGTGCCGTTGGGCGTCATGCCAGACCCTGAACTGCCGTTTTGTGCCATACGATGTCGTGTGGTGCACGACGGTTCACCGTCTCTGTGAGTGGCGGTGGCCACATGTCATTTCTGGAGGTGCCGGTCCGAGACCCTGGAAAGTTTGCACGCTCAGAACGTGTTGGCTCCGTGTCGTGGGGTACCCGCGCGCGGCGCTTTGTGGTGCAGTGGTGCCTCTGTGTACAGCGCGCATTGCCGTGCAATGGCGTGTCTTGAAGTCGAAGTTGGTTGCACAGCTTGGTGCTTCGCGACTTGCTGTCTGGTGCCACGTTTGGTGCCGCGCACAGGGCCCCAGACCTGGAGTTCACTGTCTGGTTGTCCCGTGCCGCGTGACTCCTTTATCGTACTGGTACGTCGCGCACTGCAACATCATTTCGTGCGCGGTGCACCGAGGCCAGATTTGGTTGCCCAGCGCACCGTGCCGCGTGGTACAGTCGGTACCATGCTGCGCTCCATAAAACAAAAGGAGGTGCAAGCTCCTCTCGCTCGGCCCTCGGGGCTCACATTTCATGTTGCAAATCCTGCCGAGGAGATGGCTTCGGTAGTGCATGGCATGCTGTGGTCCGATTTGGTGGGTGAAACAACCTGATACAGAACCATGTGCAAAATCCAGTATAACCAGCGCTGTGGGCGTAGATGGCTTAGTCAGCTAACTCTTACAACCTCCTTCTTCCACTTCGGGGAGGGGTTCATCACTGTTCCTTATGTTCATACACCCCCTCCCACAGCCGGCCGGCGACAAACCCGGGACCATGGCGACCACCCCCCCGCCGCCAGTGTCAAATCCGCCGATCCGGCGTGTGAGTTTAAGAAGTCTAAGCTGAGGCTCTGCTTCAGCATGAGCTTTAGCTCTGCTTGGGAGGGGGGGAGGGGGGGGGGGGGACCTCATTAACTGTCGAATTCAGTGCTCGGCACCTCCCCCCCCCTGCCAGCCCCCCCCCCCCTCGATTTCGGCTCCCCCCCCCCCCCGGGAGTTTTGCTCTGCAAGGGTGAGGGCAGGAGAGGTGGGGGGAGGGGGGGGGGGCGCTCTGCAAGGGGAGGGGGCTGCAAAGGGGGAGGCCCTCTCAGGCGGGAGCGGGGGCTACAGGGAAAGGCGGGAGGGTCCGCTTTGCAGATGGGCGCTCTGCAAGGGGAGGGGGGGGGGAGAAACAGTTTAGAGGAGGGGGGGGGACGGGAGAGAGGGGGGGGACAGGAGAGAGGAGGGGGGGGGCCGGATCATCACCATCTCCATCACCATCACCACACCATCACCATCGTCACATCACCATCATCCATCATCATCATCATCATCATCATCATCATCATCATCATCATCATCATCATCATCATCATCATCATCATCATCATCATCATCATCATCATAATCATCATCATCTCTCATCATCATCATCATCATATCATCATCATCTCATCATCATCATAATCATTCACATCATCAGCATCAGCACAGCATCAGCATCAGCATCATCATCATGATCATCATCATCATAATCATCAACATCATCAACATCATCATCATCATCCTGAGAGCAGCGGGTCGGCGGCACTTGTCGGAGAATCCTTCAATAACAATACGGAAATACATGCGTACAGCCTCTTCAGGCTTTTCTGCCGCGGGCGCCTCGATCGCTTTGCGCTGGTTTTGGCGGGGACCGCAGGAGTGGGGCAGCATATTGTATAAACCACGCGCGCGTTCGCAGCGCGTTAGGTTTCTGTAGAGTCCAAGACCCAGGTAATTCTTTTTTTTTTTTGTTTTTTTTTTTTCGTTTTTTGTGAGAAGAAATTGGTGACGCGAAGCGTCGTGGGGGCGTCCTTGGACGTCTGGGGTCTCCTGGGGCCTCTTGAGGGGCCTCCTGGGGGCCTCCTGGCGGCCTCTTGGGGCGGAAGGCTCGAGCTTGCGGTTCGTGGTCCCCCTCTGGGCCCCCTCTTGGGCCCGTCTTGGGGCCCTCTTGGGCCATCTTGGGCGCCTCTTGGGCCGTCTTGGGGCCCTCTTGGGCTGTCCTGGGGCCCTCTTGGAAGCTTCTTGGGCCGTCTTGGGGCGGTCTTGGGCGCCTCTTGGGCCGTCCTGTAACGTCGGAAAGCCCAAAAGACAACTTTGTTGAAAATGTACGTTTTACGAAGGGAATGGGCCAACTTTTGCGTCTAGGGGCCCTCTTGGGCCGCATGTTGGAGGCTTCTTGGGGCCTCTTGGGGGCGTCCTTGGACGTCTGGGGTCTCCTGGGGCCTCTTGAGGGGCCTCCTGGGGGCCTCCTGGCGGCCTCTTGGGGCGGAAGGCTCGAGCTTGCGGTTCGTGGTCCCCCTCTGGGCCCCCCTCTTGGGCCCGTCTTGGGGCCCTCTTGGGCCATCTTGGGCGCCTCTTGGGCCGTCTTGGGGCCCTCTTGGGCTGTCCTGGGGCCCTCTGGGAAGCTTCTTGGGCCGTCGTGGGGCGGTCTTGGGCGCCTCTTGGGCCGTCCTGTAACGTCGGAAAGCCCAAAAGGCGACTTTGTTGAAAATGCACGTTTTACGAAGGGAATGGGCCAACTTTTGCGTCTAGGGGCTCTCTTGGGACGCATGTTGGAGGCTTCTTGGGGCGTCTTGGGGGCGTCCTTGGACGTCTGGGGTCTCCTGGGGCCTCTTGAGGGGCCTCCTGGGGGCCTCCTGGCGGCCTCTTGGGGCGGAAGGCTCGAGCTTGCGGTTCGTGTCCCCCTCTGGGCCCCCTCTTGGGCCCGTCTTGGGGCCCTCTTGGGCCATCTTGGGCGCCTCTTGGGCCGTCTTGGGGCCCTCTTGGGCTGTCCTGGGGGCTTCTTGGGCCGTCTTGGGGCGGTCTTGGGCGCCTCGTGGGCCGTCCTGTAACGTCGGAAAGCCCAAAAAGCAACTTTGTTGAAAAATGTACGTTTTACGAAGGGAATGGGCCAATTTTTGCGTCTAGGGGCCCTCTTGGGACGCATGTTGGAGGCTTCTTGGGGCCTCTTGGGGGCGTCCTTGGACGTCTGGAGGCCATCTTCAGCATCTCGGAGCCCTCTTGGAGGCCTCTTGGAAGTTTCTTGGGCCGTCTTGGGCGCTCTCCGTCTTGGGGCCGTCTGGGCCCTCCCGGGGACCGGGGAGGCCTCCGGCAAGCCCCGACGAGCCTCCGGGCCCCCCGGGGCGCAC